GACTTTTACAAAAAAGTAATAGAGATTGTTGTCCAGAAGGATAGCATGGACTTCATCTTCAAGTCAAGGTAAGACCACAATTGTAATGAAAATGGGATCTTACTAAGAAAGAACAATCCAAGATAGATGTTGGGTATCCTTTTGTTGAACGGTCTGTTTAAAATGAATCGAAGCATCAGACTAAAAAAGCTCTTGAAAATAGCCGAATATTTCGATTAAGGTCAAAATATAATATTTGTAAATCTGACTCTGAACCTCACCGCACGTCACTGGTAATCTGAGGTTAAATAAAGCCTAACACCTGGTCTAACCAGGACCTGGGGGGTATACTACGAAGCAGGATTTTCGCTTAGCCGGCTAACTTCAGGGAAAACTCGGGGTTTCCGGTCCTACGAAGCTGGTTCTCTTTTTAGCAGGCTAGATCTCCATGGTAACTTATGCTGTGCGGCTAACCTGGTCAGGACCAGGTTAGGTTGCAGGCTAAGAGCTCAACTCAGTGAAAGCACTACCTGCTGACCAATCAGAGCTCAGTGTGCGGAGTTTAAAGCGATGAAGTCATATTACAGGAGAAAGGAAATACAGAAAAGTTGCCGTTGCAGCAAAGACTGCCGGCAAAAATCACAGACTGTGTGAACGTGAACATTATCACCTCCCATCTTCAGAGCAATCTGACTATTATAACATTAGCTTTAAGAAAGCTTACTTAAATATCTGTACAACATAAGTAACCGATCAGAGTAACATTAGGCTAAGTACAGTCCGCGGCACTGTGAGTGCAGACGTTGATGTGTCCCATTATCTTTCATATGACATCATAATGTATCATATATTTCCTTATCTGAGTCAGCTGAGCCGTATCTGGCCGTGCAACACTTAGTGTCACATACTGTATGCAGAAGTATAATTTTAAGCAACACATTAAGTTGACGAAACACTCGAGACAAATGTAATTAAAGTCAGATCCACTCGTGTCTTGGACGGCAGTGATATCATAAACCTGTTAATGTACGCATTCAAACACTTTTTCTTTTACCAGCTGTATTCACCTTGCAGGTGCAGCTATGTGGCTTAACTAGATAGGGCACGGCTGGCTTGAGCGATCCACTTGATAACCTGCGTCGTAGTACCGTTTAGCGAGAGCGCGTATGTTTTGGATTAGGCCAACCGGCTAACTCAAACATATCCAGGTTAGGTTGAACCAGCTTCGTAGTCCAGGCCTCTGGTTAGTCTGGATGGTTTAACGAGCGCGATAACATCAGGGCCCAAACTTTTTGCAATCTCCTTTATGGTTATAAACGGTTATAAAGTTACTGCGCTCATACCAGTTTTCCTCCTGCAAACAGAGCCATCTTGGTGGAGTTGGAGTGCAAACAGATCTGATGTTCTCCGGGAGTGTGTGAGGTGAAGGTGAACCGTCCGTCTGAGCCGTATTGTCGAGACAGGATAATCTGGGAGAATTGTCAAATAAATTATTATATTATAATGACAGTATGTGTATGTGGGAGTGTCTCATTAAAGCACCTCCTCTTTGCTTACCTTAGTATCTGGATCCTTGATCTCCACATGCATCCCCAGGCCGGGCGTGGCTGCGAGGAAGGAATCTGTCAGCTTGTCCCACAGCTGAGTCCTGTACTTTCCTGTCAGACCGGTAGAGCAACACACACACTGCTCAGCTCATCCAGTATGACCACTTTGCACCAGTACACAGCAGGATATAACTTTAACATAGTAAGTGGGGGAATTCAACATAATGCAACAGTGCCAAAACATTTCCAATGAAATATCAAAATTGTCACACTGTTTATAGCGAGTGTTAATTTTAGTAATGTAAAAGTCTACTTTCCTAGCTGGGGTTTGGATCACCATAAATACATCAGGATTCTCTTCAAGCAGGTGCCCTTTTCTTATTTATCAGTAACCCTGTATCCGTCAGTGATAAGTCAACTGCTTAAATGAGTGCCTTCTGGCAAATATTAGTTTATATTTATACAAAATCTTACAAAATCTACACTGTAATTTTTTTGACAAAATACTTAGAAAAACACGTTTTAAAAAAAACCTTTGGTCGACACAACAGTCATTTTCAATGAAGCAGCTTTGATGGAGCCAGCTGTTCGCATTAGGTTTAGCTAGCATCACGTCAAGCTAACGAGCCCCCAGCAGCTTACCAATAACCATTGTTTCGTCTGGAATTTCTTCTATGAAACATTTCTTCTCCGTCTCTCCTATGTGGAAATAAAGAGCGTGACTTGGATAAATCCAAGCTAATATTAAAACCACTCCAGCAGCAGGGGTAGCGAGCATCATGTAGCTTATTCACTTCACGCACATCAGCACAAGAAGCTATGATGGTGCAGCAACTGACTTCATCTCCCACTGCGGAAGGAGGAAGGGGATTTCCTGAGCCATGGGCTCATTTTGCCCTCCAGGGTGCTTCTCAGGCAGCACTCAATTCCAAGTTGTATAACCCCGAGACCAGACCAGCCAACGGAACGAACAAGTACATTTTTTTTAATGTAATGCACAGATCATTTTAATGAACAAGCAAGGAGCCGTGACAGCAGTCATAGTTTTAAGAAAAGGCTTTTAAACTACTAAAAATAAGAAAAATAACAAGAGAGATGAGAAGCCTTTGTCAGATGCAGTCTCGGATGTGTTCGGGGAGACAGTTTCAGTGGGATGGGGCAGCAAGGTTTTAGTCAATGTAATTCATGATTTTGAATACAGAAATGTTTTTTTATCCAATACATTTTTTAGGGGACATTTCAAATTCCCAAGAAGACCACATTTTCCACATATTTACTTGGAATTACAGCAATAGGACACCATCATTATTTGGTTTATTAAAGAAAATAAGGCAATACAAATATTGTATTTGTTAAATATTGTATTTTTGATTGTTATATTCTTATCATTTTTACTTCCTTTAGTTTAGTTTGGTTGTTTTTACTTTGTGTGTATAGGCTACCCGTGATGTCAAAATGTGTTGTGCATATAATGTAAAATGTACATATATTTGTACCTTTGAAGAATTGTTTATTTGACACATTGTACTGTTAAGTGATTACAAAACATATTATGTTATCAATAATAATACAGTTTACCATGTTATTAACCCAACTCATAGTCGAGAGGAAATGTGCCTGAGAGGCTGAACTCGGGGTAAATAAACCATTAGTATTTCCTGGGCTAACAACACTCGTCCTGGCTTTGACAGATAACCTCAACAGACCTTAAACACCTACATTGTGTTAGGATAACATCACAAAACTTGGGAGAATGCCTTTCTGAAGACACACACTACGGTGAAGTAGGTTGTTGTTTATGCCAGTCATCAATTGCCTCAGACATTGAAGCTTCAGGCTGCTACAATATCCTAGCTAGCTCATTAGCAACATCGCTAGCTTTGTAGCATCAGCTAGCTTTCTAGCGGTGGCTAAACAGATCCGCTCACAAACAGGCTGAATGTGAGTAACAGCTTGCTGACCTGGTACCCGGACACACACCCTGAACAAGAAGAGAGGGTAAGTGCACAGGACAACAGTTACTAACAAATGTATGACCTGTCTTAATGCGGGGGATCAAACAACATTGTTTATTATAGCTCTCATTGTAAGCTAATATAAATGTGATTCTGGTCGTGTCAGCAGTTGAGGTTGATGGTGGTTTTATTTAGTCTAATTAATCAAATATATAAAATAAGCTATGTGTTTCAGTCGACCTCTTTGCCTCATGGTATTAGTATGACGTAATGTTTGTGTCCTCATCACTGATACCTGTATGTAGGATAGGTTATGCTGCACAAAGCAGGAAGAGACACACTACAGGAGCGAGCCTTTATACCTTAGCCTGTGAGCGTCCTGATGCCCCCCACCCACTCAGACATATGGGATTTGGGAGAGGGCTGATATTGAAAGAGAAAGTAACTGCAGCATGCCGCCGGACGGTGAGGCGTGGTGTGTCATGTGTCACCATGTGTTCCCTCCCCCTCTGCGGGTGGGGGGTGATTCAGGGTAGCAGATATTATGTTTAATACAATTAGAGATAAATCGTGTACTTTTACTCCGCTAAATTCATTGAATAGCTTTAGTTACTTTGCAGATATAGATTAATGATAAACAATAGGATCAACACTTAAATATATACTTTAGATACACATGGATTCCACCTTTACCAGATTTGATAACACTTTAATGATCAATAATTATAAAACATATATTATTCTGAACCAATGGACCAATCTGCACAATGACTACTTTTACTTTTCTTACTTTAAGTATATTTCAATGCCAAAAAGTTTCGTACTTTTACTTGAGTAACATTTTTAATACAGGACCTTTACTCGTAAAAAAATTGGTATTTCTACTTCTACATATGCAGATCTGAGTACATCTCCCACATCTGGGTAGGGGTCAGGATAAGCATCTCCTAAAACTACTGGTTGTTATGGGAAGCAGTTGAGTTAATACATTATACAAAATTCACAGAACCTTTTACATTTATATTTAATTTAATATGCTATTCCTTGCATACTTAATGTGAGTAACATCCTACTTTTATTTATTCTTAGCTTTAATTGGCTGTTCATGGTGTATATTAGAGAGATAATCTACAGATTTGTATCTTTCACTTTCAATATTATGTATATGTTTTACTTTTTAGTTCTGTTTTATTTTCTATTTTGAGATGTTCATTTTATATGTTTATGTTTGTTTATTATCTACTCTTTTTCATTTTCACATTATGTGCAATGCCTTGTTCACATGCTGCTGTGACGGAAACATATCCCAAATCGGGATCAATAAAGTACATCTAGTCTAATCTAATTATGTAAAGGGAAGGCACACAGACAGAGAGACTCCAGAGGCCTCAACACTACAGGCATTGGTATTCGAGCAAAGGTCTAATGAGGTGTGTATGAATATATAATAATCTGTAGTTTTTCTACAGGGATGGTGCAGCCCCAGCCTGATGGCCCGATGCAGTGGGACATGTCGGGAGAAGAGAGTGGCGGGACCCTGAGGGTTCCCCCGGAGCTGGCCTCCAATGAGGTGGTGACCAGGCTGCTGGGAGATAACCAGCAGCTAAGAGGTAGATGCATTTCCACTATTAAAAAAATATGTATGGATGGATGCAAATTATTCTTTTTGTTTTGTTTGTATTTATTTATCAGTGTACTTTCACCAGAACATTATTATTATTACTATTAATATTATAAGATTGTGTAATAGTTTTTTAATTCCATTATTTGTGTATCTTTTTAGTTGGATGCTTTTATTTATTTGTTGCCCTTCACTCCTGAAATTCTTGAGTAGTAGTTTGTAACTTTGTTTTGAAATTAAAAAAAATCAATTAATAATTTGCTTTTCTTATTTATATAATTACTATGTACTTTGTGGGGGAAACTTCTGTGTAGCAATGCAGGAGGAGTCACCAACTCAAAAGGAGGCAGGGGGAGAGCTGGAGCTTTGATGTCAAACACTGATGGGTTTATTGGGAGCTTCGGCCGGAGAATTTACAAAACAAGTCCAGAGTCGGAGGTCTGACTTCATGGTAGAGTTGCCACGTCAATTCTGAAGATCTCTACCCCAGACCCATGTATTTAGCTAGTTCAGAGAGAATAATCAACATTGTGCATAACAAGATAGAATGATAACACCTCTATCAGCTGACGCCAACAGGCAGGAACAGGGAGACAAAACACTGAGAGCACAGCAGCCAAGGTTACAGGTGCTTGTGCTCAGTCAGGGCAGTATGAACTGATACACTGGGTCAAAGTTATTGGCCTTGGAAAATATTTCCCTAACATACTTGATTAACAGCTCGTTGTATGGCATATCTCTCCTTTCCCCTCCCCCTGCTATCCTCCAGAGGCCCTGCAGCGGAGCAACCTGGCCCTCCGTCAGCGCTGTGAGGAGATGGAGGGATGGCAGCAGAGGACCAGAGGGGAGCGAGAGTTTCTCAGCTGTCGTTTCCAGGAGGCCAGGGCCCTTGTGGAGAGGCTGGCCCAGGAGAACCACTCCCTGCAGAGTCTGGTGAATGGGTCGGCCCCCTCCTCCACCCACTGCTGCAGCTCCAGCCAGACCGAGGAGCTGCAGGCGCGCCAGGCCTGGAGCAGGCCGCTGGACGGACCGCAGGTAGGCTCAGAGATTCTATTTCCTCATATTCATACTTGATTGATTATTCCATTACATCTGAGCAAACAAGTGTCATTGTTACACAGCTTCCATTGTTATTGTTATCTTTATAATCATTTGTTGGAATGTGTTAAACTTTTTTTATGTACACAAAAGTACGGTGGCCCTGAAGCCAAAACAACATTTCACTAAACACTACAGCATTTCAGAAAACACCACAGCATTAGGGATGGGAGCGATTAATCGAATATTCGAATATTCAAAATCATTCACGTATTCGAATATGAGTTATGAACATTTTTATACACTTTTTTTTTTTTTTTGGGAGGGATGCTTAAGTTAATTACATATTATCAAATTGAATAATTAAATGTATATATATACGACAGTGCCATAGCTAAATGTGTTAGTTGACGTCTAAAGGTGTGTTTTTGCTCCGCTCACCGGTCCCTCATAGCGGGAAGAGCTGCAGGTGCTGATCTCTCTCTCTTGCGTCCGGTTATACTTCACTCACGTTTATGTCCAAATCCATCAGATCTAGCTTGTTCTAGCTAATGATATGGCTGCTGCCCCTCCCTACACGCAGATCACGCAGACTCAAACCTCATCCCAAATGTGGCGCAAATGCGCTCCGCAGCTGTTGCGAGGTTCCGGTGCTAACAGTTCATGAGCGTGTTCACCCGCCCCCTGTCAACACTCGCGACACATGAGTGGCCAGCCTAAACAACAATAAGCGCTGCTTGGCAACCGTGTGTGGCGGCAAAGTACAGAGACATTTTGACCGGAGAGATTTAGTTTTGCCGGTATTCAACATATTTTACCAGTCATAGTCCGGTAATTATTTACACTCTAAGAAGAGTCCTACACAACAGACATGGCGTCAAAAAGGAGTAATGTGTGGAAATATTTCGACCAGGTTAGTGAGTGCGGTGTAGAGGTCAAATTATGTCAAATTAAACTTATATATACATACTATACCTTGCTATACCCGCAACCTCCGTTCCAGCTGAGAGGGTCTTCTCTACAGCTGGCCTGATTGTGAATCGCTTCCGCACATGAAAGCTGTAGGCCTATAGCTGTCAAACTATGGTCGCCAGTTCAATACATTTGACAAATGTGACTTGGTTTCTACACTTATTTGAACATGTATTTATTTATTTACAAAAGTTATTGAATTCTTTTTTTCGATATGTACATTTCGGTTAACCGGTTAACCGTTTTTTGGAGGGTCGAATATTCTAATATACATTTGCTTT